GACTAATTAAGGAAATAAAATAAAAGATATGTATGTTTTGTAGTATGTGTGATAAATCTAGGAGGTTCAGTTGTTGAATAGAGTATTGTTTTCTTGATGGTAACTAAATATTTCAGGCTGTTACCTTGGGTCAAAGTCTTAAAATTTACCACTACCCCAACTTTTTGTTTTTGTTCTTATTTGAGTAAAATTGACAATTTTTTAGATCTTAAAAGGTCACTTTTAAATTAATCCAAGAAACATCTTGCAGTATGTTAAGGGAAGTTCAAAAGAACTTTTATGTTTGTAATTGAAAAAGACAACCAGATTTCATCTGAGAGTTTTACTGTCCTTTGATATATATTTTTTTCTCTCCACCTTGATGATCCACTTATTATGGAGAAAGAAAAGTATGGTATTGAGCTCTGGGGAATGCATAGAGAAGGAAAAACAGGGAAAGAGAATGATAACAGAAATTTCTACATTGTTTTTGGTCTTTTTCATCTGTAGCCTAGTGCCAAGAGACTGTGGGATCTTAGTTTTGTTATCTAAACTGGCACGGGCAGTACTACTGGTTGGTAGATTATTGTCATTTTCTTACAGACCTGAGTTTACTATGGGATCATTTCTCTTTGACTTGCAGAAACTTTAGCATTTTTTTTTTTTTAAATAGCCCAAGACTGTGTGTGAGAGAGTTGTTTTGGTGTTTCTTTACCTGAAAATATCTGTTCCACGTAGAAAAGTCAGAGTTTATTTTTTTGTTTGTTGTGTTCAATATATGTTATGTGTTTTTTTCTTTCCACTTTCAAGATTTTTGTCTGTATGTTTGATTTTCAACAGTGTGAATATTATGCTATCGTTATAGTTTTACTGTATTTACTACCTTGTATAGGTGTCATTTGCTTTAGATTTGCAGTATTATTTTTCCCTTTAATTGTAGCCATTTTTACCTGTTTTTAAAATATTTTTATATATGCTTTTATGTGTAATTTTCTTTGTGCTCCCCTTTTGGAACTCCAATTTTAATGAGGTACATAGCTTACTGAAAGTTCTGTTTCATTGAATTTTTTTTAGATAGTATAGTTTTTTACCTCTGTCTTTAAGTTGATTAACCTTTTAGTTGTCTCTCATCATCATTAAACCAATCAAATGAATTTTCCATTTTAGATTTTGTGTTTTTTGTTCTACATAGCTCTGTATTACAGTTTTAACTTATCTGATGAGAGTACACTTCATATATTACTAACTTCTTGAACATATTTATGATAGCTGCTTTATAGTCTTTGTCAACTGATTACAACATCTGGGTCATCTGTGTTCAGAAAGTTGAACACTTTTAAAAAAAAATGTCGATCACAATTTCCTGTTTATTTTCATGTCTTGTTATGTAATGGATATTGTGGATGATATGTGTTTTTGACCATACTGTTTCCTCCAACTGTACTAATATTTTGTTATTCTAGCAAACAGTTAACTGGCTAGACTTAAACTCTAACTGTTTGCCCTGATATCTCTCTTCAGTTATTTCAGCCATCTAGCTGTTGCTTTTCTTTGAGGTCTTGAGCCTGTCCTGTGTTGTATGATTCAGGGCCCAACTAAAGTTTGAGGTAGGGTATACTTAAGTGTTTTGGAGTTCCTACTTTACAAGGATTTTTCCTCTTTTCTGGTTGCTCTGCTAGCTGGAACCTCTTCCTTTGATGCCTTAATAAGCTAATATGATTATAAATTCTTGAGTTTCTGCTACTGTGCTACTCTTGGTTATCTGCCTTCAGACAAGCACCTACATAAAGAATCTTCTCACTTGTATAATTCCCCTCTTTCAAGGATTGACTTTGCCCCAGTTTCTTCCTTTTCTTTTTTCCCTAGTTTCTACCTATATTTGTTCCTCGGGGCCTGCAAATAGTTGTTTTTGTTATTTTACTTTATTTTTTATTGAACCCAGGGCCTTGTACATACCAGGTAAGCACTCTACCACTGAGTGATATCACAGTCCAAATCACTGTTTTGTATTTTGGGTTTTTAAAAAATTTTTAATTTTTTTTTTCTCGTTGAGTTTATTGGTACATTTTAGGTATACAGTACAGTTACACTCATTGGGATCTTGTACCTTTACATGACAGGGCTTGGTTCTCATTTTTTCCCCTTGTCCCTGCCCTCCCTTCACCCCCTCCTCCTTTCCTAATTTACAAAAATGTTTTTTCCATTTTTTTCATTTTCTCATATTTTTTTCTTTTCCCTTATTAGCTTTCCCCTACCCTTCCCACTTTCCCTACACCTTTAGCCCCTTTCTTCCTATTTCACATTGTCAGTTATCTCATTAGGATTTTATGTACTATTATAGTTTATTCACACCAGAGAAACTATTCGATATTTTCACATGTGTAACACATGTGACTTGCTTCACTCAGGAGTATATCCTCAATATGTATCCATTTTCCTATGAATAAATCTAATTTCTCATTCTTTATGGCTGAGTAATATTTCATTTATAGAAAAACCACATCTTTTTTATCCAGTTTCCAACTGATGGGCAAATGGGCTGTTTCCAAGTTTTAGCTGTTACAAACTGTGCTACTATAAACATAGGTGCACATATATCTCTGTGATATGATTCTTTTAATTCTTTTGGAAAGATACCCAGCAGAGGGATGGCTGGGTCAAATGGAACCTCTAGTCCCAGATCTTTGAGGTATCTCCGTAACTGTTTTGTATTTTGGCTAGAGATCATAATTTTCATTTCTGGTTGTGTTTGTCCAGTAGAATCTACTCTACTTTTCTGTATGTAAGTCTCCAAAGTTTTTACTTTTATCTTATTTGGAATACTTGTTTTTGGTGTATGTATCGTAAATAGCACAATTTATTTATCATTTATTTATAGAATATAGTTTATTTTGTGCTAGGAGTTGAACTGAGGGTCTTGCTTAATTTTAATATCTGGTACACTTGAATATATTTCTAACATTTTATGTTTTCTATATTTGTAGTTTTTCTGTGATTTTAAATTTCTAATTTTCTTTTGGATTGGTTTTCTTACTCCTTTTTCAAGTTCGATTTTTAAGTTTTACATCTTTGTGTGTGTGTGTGTGTGTGTGTGTTGTTGTTGTTGTTTTTGTTGCTGTTGTTGTTTGCAGAGGTAGGAATGAACCCAGGGCCTTCACATTGAACCACATCACCAGCCTTGTTTATTTTTTATTTTTAATTAAAGTCTTGCCAGATTGCTCAGTTTGGGTTTATCGTCTGATTTTCCTGCCTCATCCTCCCAGAGTGCTGAGATTTCAGGCATGTGCTGCCATACCTGGTTTATATTCTGTTTTTGCTCAGTTGATGTTATCTTTTAATTTTTGTGTGATATTTGAATAAAAAATTGAACATTAATCAAATATAGCTCTATTCCAGTGATGGCGAACATTTTAGAGCTTTTAGTGATACAAACAGCCTACTGTGCGTGCTGTAGGTTCACCACCACTGTATATACCATGATCTAGGTGTGTGGTAGGCTATGCTACTATGTTTGTATAAGTATACCCCATGATGTTCACACAACAATAGAATCACCAAATGACACATTTCTCAGAACATATCCCTCTCATTAAGTGTTGGTACATGACTGTAATGCTATGTCTTAGATGGACATGTCATGTACCATGTTTTAGTTTGTAGCTGTTAAATTTATAGTGAAATTCTACTTCTATTCATTCTCCTACAAAAGTAATTCCTTAATTTAGGTCCTCTACTGTTTACATCTTAATTTTTTTTCTTCACAGGATACATACTTATCTAAATCAATAATTGCAGTTGCAGAATGGTGTATTAGGAAGTTTGATTAAACATAGAATATGCAGGGCCGGGGATTTAGCTCAGTGGTGCTGCCATCTGTCTCATAAGTAAGTGCAAGGTACTGAGTTTGATCCCCAATACTAAAAACAAACACCATAGAATATCCAGTAGATCACTAGAGGCTTTATTGTCTCACATAACAAGTTCACATGTAGTTTTTCTGGTTGACCTGACTCTGTGATACAATCTTGTGCTTTCCATGGTTTCACTTTTGTCGTGCTCAGCATGTTTATGTTGATTTCTTTTGTGCCCTGAAGATGACTACTGTATTTCTAGGTGTGCTGTAGAAATACTTTGTGTAGGTAAAAAAGTGTAATTCTCTGTTAGCATCTTTATGAAACATAACTTGCCCCAAGTGTTTCCCAGTAGACCTCCCCTCATGTCCTATTGGTGAGGATTTGGTCACTTTCAGTGACAAGAGGAATAGAATGGCTCTGGTTGATGTGGACCAGTCAAAAATGGGTGGCCGAGTGAGAATTATCACTGGAATTAAGTTGGGGGTTTAACACAGTAAAAAATGGGGTGAGGTGAGAAAAAAGTATCTGCCACAGGTGCTGTTTTTGGTTTTCCCACCAGGAAAGTTAACATCCTGGTAGTAATCCCAGCACTCTGGAGGCTGAGGCAGGAGGAT